ACTCCTAAATCTAACAGAGTAAAAACTAAATTTTCATAAGTTCAACATAGTTTCGGTTTAAACAACCGAAATTCCTCTTTTTTTTTTTGTCGGGGTAAAAAGCAACTGAAATTAGACACATAATATACATATAATCATCCGCCGAAACATAGTGTAATTTTTAAACCTAAGCATGAAATTAAACCTAAAACTAAACATGAATTTAAACTGAACTAAACATCGTCGTCAACCTTGTAGAGGGCGAGCCAATCCGCCCACGACATCCCACCACCCATGGGGTCCAGCCCTGTGCCGTCGTCGCCACAGTCGGGGAAGATGTGCTGCCGTTCTTCAATGCCGAAGTCCCCCTTGTTGTTGCCGCAATCATTGCCGCCGTGCTCCTCGTCGTCGGAGGGGATGATGACCTCCCGTCAACCGCGCGCTCCGCGAACATCTTCCTTTCGGCCTCCACCAGCTCGAGGTGCCGGTGGCGGAGGTCTGCCATGTACTCCTCATCAGCGGCCTCCGTCGTGATGTGCTCTCTCGCCTCTCGGTCCTCCCTAGCCACTGCCGCACTCACCACACCCGGTGGCAGCGGGTCAAGCTCGATGGGTGCCATCCCTCACGGGAAGTTGAGGCGCACCGCGGCGCCTTTACAGCCTGACCTGCCACTAGTCGTACTCGAGGGCGGCAAGCTGGCCATGTGGACATATGTGCTGTGAAAATCGAGTTTCTACAACATCTTCCGAGACATACGAAGGTTGAATAGTGTGCACTTCAGCAAGTATTTTTCTAAACGGTGAATAATGCTTGGTAGAGATAAAAGAAAACTTCCCAGCTTCTGCACAGAAAAAAAAAACTGAAATTTTAGGTTAAAAACATCGAGAATCAGGAAGAACTTTCTCCAAGTCACATGGTCTTCCGACGACATGGCACAAAGGCTGGACAACAGTCCGCGGATATGAATGAGTACAACAAGTCACGATACAAAATCCGCACATATGGTGGGGCCATTAAAGCAACGGCATCGATGGGAATACCAACACCACCCTCCAGGGAAAAACAAGCCCCTACCACCAAGTGGGTCCATTATTCTAAAGACCACCTCCTTGGTGATAGCCGCAAGAAGAATGCTGAACATGATCTATTGTGACGAGATCTGAAGGGTTGTATGTGTACAACTTTGAGCTTCTGAAAACCAACACCAACACTCGAAAGGACACCACATCATTAGAAAAGTGGTTGAGAAGCATTTACCAGGAACACCGATGTTGTCATCGATGATGTTGCTAGAATGAACAGGGGCTAAATATAGTAACCTGAAGAAAGGGCATACTATCCTAATTGAAAAATGATACCAAATAGATCAAAATCACGATCCTCCAAATGCCGGGGAGACTTTGCTGGAGGAGAACGAACCACAATCGATTGCTAGACCAATCCTGACGGCACATTACGGGTTTTAGCGCTTCTCATGCCCCAAACAAGGATTAGAATTGAGCCAACCCATTATGGGTAGTGTTTTTATTTTCATCCAACCTTTTAGTTTCCTCCTTTTGTTTTGTGTTTCCCTTTTTGCCTCTTTTTATTCTCTGTTTTTTTCCTTTTGGGCGGGAAATAGACAGTAAATTCTCTAAATTGTAGGGATACTAATCTAGTTGTGCACGGACATTTTTCTGAATTCTAAAGTTTTTCTTTGAGAACCTGAACAGTTTTCTGGTGAACATAAGGTTTTTGTTAAATACGTGAATATTTTCTTTAAACACATAAATATTTTTTCAATAAATGAACTTTTTAAACCGGAGATAACCATTTTTGGAACACACTGCCATTCTTTATTTTCTGGAATATATTTGTATGTAATTTTTTCAGAATAATACTCTCTTATTAAAGAAACTTTTCAAGAAAAAAATACTAAGTATATTCGGCTGGCCCATAGAATAAAGTTACTTAACTAAATATTTTTCCCAGGTAAATTACAAAGCATATTGTGTTGGCCCATATTGTAACCTTGTGCTTTATACTATAAGGAGCTCCCGGTCCTCCAGCCCACCCTTGTTGCCAGGGTTATTTCTCGCCTATTGTGAGATATCCTTCACCATTGTCTTTAGCTATCGACAAATGTGTCACTCCGACACTGTAGATCTTCTAAATGGTTCTAGAATTGTTCTATAGCCATTTCAGACCGGTTTTAAAACCTTCCGTTTTGTTTTTTATTCTTCTTTCATTTCAATGTGTTTTTCAATCGGGTTTTCTTCTTCTTCTTTTTACTTATCTTTGTTTTCTTTTTATTTTCATTACATAAGGTTTTCAACACAGGTTGTACATTTTCCGTGTACATCTCAAACATTTTTTATACACATTGAGCATATTTGCAATATATGATTTTTTTAATTAATGTTTTGAAGTTTTTTTCCATCCGTGTTTTACAAATATACGTTAAAATAATTTTTTAAATGATGTGGAATATCTTTTAAAACTATGTGAAAAATTTGTATATTATATACCACGAACATAATGTGCAAACATTATTTTAAATGTAACATTCATTTTTAATGGTATCCGACTTTTTAAAAATTATAGGAAATTTTTAAAATTGTATAAAGAATATTAAAAAAATGTAACCGATATTTTTTGAATACCCTGAATTTTTAAAATTTCGTAAACATTTTTCTATCGCTATCAACATATTTTTGATAATGTGCTATTTTGTTACATATTTTTAAGTAAATCCATGTTTTGGAATATATGTATTTATAATATTTTTCGAACTAACCTACAAGATGTTACTTGGGCCGGCACAATAGCAGCGACGGGAAAGGAGCCATTGAGGCGAGACCTCCTTCGTCATCGCTGGATGCTTAATTGTTCAAGTTCCTGAACCGGTTTTTTTTCTTGTTACTTATTTATTGGCTTTTCTAATTTATTGTTATTATTTATCAATTAAGTTTTTCTAAAAATATTCATACTTTTTTCGAAAATCAAAATTCATACTTTTATTAGAAAATGCTTACAATATAGAAAACTATTAAAAATAGAAACACGTAAGAATTGTCGGCCCTGTGCTCACTGAACATGACACCTTCCTTGTGCGAGGGATGGATGCTTATCTGGAAATGGCACTGGCACTTAATGTTAGCACTGGTTAAGCAGAATATTCCTTTGGCCATGGCTGTCTCCACTCTCCACGGATTCCACTCCCCACCACCTTTGTGGCCATGGCCACGTAGCAGCCAAGTTAAGATAAGCATAAGATCAGTGTTTTTCCTTTTTAACCGCCCAATCCTTGCATGCGGCTTCAGTTACCGCGACACTGTTGCGTCGAGTGAAACATTACGCCGTGAGATTTCGTGATGGAGAAGTGGGAGTATGATTCATGTTACATTTCCCTTTGTTCCCACGCACGGAACGATCGATTCTGCTGCTACTCCCTCTGTTTCAAAATAGATGACTTAACTTTGTGCTAACTTTTTGCCACGGCATATACAACACTCCATCTATACGCATTCTGATGAGTCGATAGAGATATGGACGGGCGGGGCGCGGGGGATCCTTCCTAGGTTCGTACGTACGTGGCCGGCTTCGCTCCCACTTCCGACCAGCTTATGCCGACGGGAGATGTGATTCATGCTACATTTCCATTGGTCCCCACGCAGCGACGCTGCTTGGCAAAGAAATCCATACATGTTGGAAATATGAGCAATTTACCAAATGGTTTTATTAGCAGGGAGTATATTGTATCTGCAACAATCAATCGATAGAAGTTTCCATTCACTTCAAAACAAATGCATTGGAAAGATGCAAGGTCATCATTTCTCTCCTTTTTAATTACCCCGCCCCTAATGACCTAAGGGCATGTAGAATGTGAGGAGACCATGTGTTCAGTGTTATTGGTCTTGATTATCGTGTGATAAGAGAGAAGCATTTTTATTTACTTTGAAGTGTATTCGGAGATAGAAGTACATTTTTTTGTGGAGAAATTTTAAATGCCAAACGCACACTTATTCATGGATGAAAGGAGTAACATAAGCACCGAACTGGCTAAATGCTACTCCCTTCGTCCTAAGATGCTAATGCTACTCCCTTCATCCTAAGATGTTATTACAACCAACGTACTCATATATTGGTTGTATAACATCTTATATTATGGGGCGGAGGGAGTAATGAATTACCATGTGAAGTGGCATCATCTACCGCAGTTTTATTTATTTATTTTGGAATAACGTTTGAGCTTCATTGCCTGATGATGTTCATGGGCATGCACAAAGGATTCTGAGGATCCGAAAGCCTTACATGTCTCACTTCACAAAAAAGAGGCACAAAATTTTACAAGGCCTGATGGCGTTCAGCGGAGTAGTCGTTGTACCAGACTGCCCAACGGTGTTACAAACTCATCTTTTGCTGTAGTTTCTCACTCAAGCCGAATAACCACGCCTTTGCCGTCGGCGTTGTATCAGCAATCAGAGCTTCAAAGAGTTCTGAATCAACGGCAGCCCGGATACCCCTCGCCATATATCGCACACGGGCAACAAGCGTCGCCAGTAATCAACTTCCGCCTTGCATATCTCATACCCAGCCATCGACGCAATGCTCCTGTTGCATCTACACAAGATGACACATATTCTGCTAAAACAGAAGTGACACAAAGATGCATCTTCAGTCCATCATATAAGGTGCAGTAGTTGGAAAAGAAGGGATAATTCTCAGTTTAAGATACTGAGCTATATATCTCAGAGCCGTTTGGTTCATCTATCACACCTATAAGCAGAAAGAGCTGTGATGGGAAGAACATTCACTGCAGATCATTTTACTCCCGCTGAAAACATGCAGTGCGTCGTCGCAATGAAACAACGCAAAATAGGAGTTGAAACCATAGGCTTAACATGATAATCAGCTTGACTGACGTCACTGGTAGAGTGCATTAACTTCAATAGTCGAACGACACAGAAACCATACAAGATTTATCTGAACACCCTGTATATGGCTAGTACAGTACACTGGCAAAAGAGCACGCCAGATGATCAGTTGAAGCAACCAAACATTAGCCCTGCGGAGGAGACAAATTGAAACAAGCCCCGATCAGTGCCGCGACAAGGAAATGTGGAGTTATATGTATAGGACTGTTGTCAAATATAACACAATATGCTGAAAGCAGAAAGAAACCCAAAGGTCAATGAAAAATTCAGATGAGACAACTAACTTCAGGTAATCTAGAAACTGTCCTTTTGCTACTGAATACTGATGCAAAACATATAATGTAAGTTATTGCAAATAAAAAGGAATACATGCTGACAACAGAAAGAAATAGCAAAGTACTTGCCGAAGAGAGTTTGTACCAAACCCCCAAGGCCAACGAATTCAGATGGGACAACTTCATCGCCAAGAAAACCAAATACAAACAAAAAACAGTAGGGCAAGATCAATAAAGAAGATTGTGAAATGCAAAAGAAAAATTTAGGTATAAGGAAGCCTGAGTAAAAATATTGAATTTTCCTCATCAACCAATCCACCATTCAATTTCTATTTCTACTAAAACATGAGGGTGTGATCACAGAAATTCGACCAAAATATAGTATGTTTAATTAGCTAATAAATAGGACACGCCCAACCAAACTCTATAATTGGCATGTCAACGCCACATTTTCAACGAATCTTACACAATGATTATAACTATCTCTGTTTTATCTAGAAGGATGCTAATAATGCATGCCAAACATATACTCACCAGAGCTGTCATAAACATCACATTCCACAGAAGAACATGCCTTGAAGATGTTGTGTATCTTTGCGCATCCATCATTACTTGCCGGGGTCTCTTGTGACAGCTTCACAATCATTCTTTTTAGCATCGGTGCACATCCGATTATCAATTTCAGTAAATCAAACTCATGATCCTTTCCTTCGAAGCCATTGAACTCCACTTCTTCGAGAGCAGCCAAGCAGATAATTTGGGACTTCCAGTTCGGAAACTCACAAGGACAAAGTGGCAGGCATCCTCCTTTCATCTAAAACCCAAAAATGTTGAATACCCACACAATGTATTATTAGGGTATATAAGAAGAGCAAAGAATTACCGCTGATCTCTCTAGGACGACCTTAAGCCTCCGCGTAGCAGTACGAATCCGATCCATCCCAAGGAAATGAAACACAAACGCTCCAAAAGCATGCCCCTTTGCTGTGAGATGCAGCTCTAAAACAGAGAAGGCGGCAACCATATGTTTCTCTATCTCCTGCGTGAAGTTGCCCGCCTCGGCGTGCAAAAGAGACGTGTCCTGAAAAAACAATTTGCAAAGATGTATATCATTCACAAAATTAATTTACTCAGAGCTTGCAGCAGATTGAGCAGTAGAGGGGCGCACCGCCCAGGCATGAATTTGCAGCGAGGATATCTGTTCTTGTGTGTCTGCTGTCTGCAGCCGCAGCCGCACCTTGTTGATGCCCCAAAGACCAAACACAACATACGGCCCCAAGTAATAGCAGTGCCACGAAACCTTTTCCACCAATGGTGCCAAGACAGAGGTGCCGATCAGCTCCATCGTGCTAAATGACATGCTCAATTGCTTAAGCACGGGCGCGACGATGACGACACGCTGTGTCAGGCTGAGCTCGCGGCACACAACGAGCTCCTGCAGCGACGAGGAGCTGACCCTGACGTCGCACTTATGGTTGGGAAACAAAGCCCTGCAGAGGCGGAGCGTGCGCAGGCGCGGGCAGCAGGAGAGCAAGGCGTCGAGGTCGGTGATGCAGTACGTCAGGGACAGCGCCTCGAGTGCGGGGAACTCGGCGCCGGCCGGCACGCGGAGGGAGAAGGGGGAGGCGAAGTCCAGCGCGATGGACGTGGCGCCGTCGAAGCGAGGCAGGTCGACGGCGAGGCGGGAACGGCCGATTAAGCCGGCGGGGAGGCGGAATTCGAGACTCTCCGGCTCGAGCCGCGCGGCGGCGCGGAGCAGCGAGTTGACGCCGGCGCTGTCTACCCGGTGCTTCTTGGGGTTGGGATTGGGAAAGCCCCAGCTGCGCCGCTGCCTCTGGGGGACGCGGATCTTGAGGAGGGAAACCGCGGGCGGCGGAGGAGGGACGCGGCCGAGCGCCGCCTCGATCGAGGGGAAGGGCACGTCGCGGAGGACGATCTGGCGGAGGCGGGCCCAGAGGCCGCGCCACCGGCGGGAGAGGACTCCGGTGCGGGCGGCGGCGGCGGCGCAAGGGAGGCGGGCGAGGACGAGGAGGAGCACGTCGTCGGGGAGGGCGCTGATTCGGTCCGCTCCGTCGCCCGTGCCATCTGGCTCCTGGCCCGAACTCCGGCGAGGCCCCGAGCTCGCCCCCATCGACGCCCGGATCTCACCCACCAGGTGGGGACTGTGCAGTCGACCTATCTCACTCTGAGCAAGTACGAGGTTCCACCAACATCCCCTTCTGGTCCTTTTTTTTTAAAAAAAAAATAGCCCAGCCCAGCGTTGATGTGTGCTAGATTCTCATAAAAAAAATCTTATTTATGGACATATAAGTTTGCCTCAAAAAGAAAGATAGACATGTAAGCTGTTTTCTTCACGAAAAATAAAACAATGAAGCTTGTATCATCGTCTTGACTTAGCGCCTCGTCCGGGGTGTGCTAGCAAGAAGATGAGGGGGCGAATGGCGAGGCGATGGATGAGGCAAAGGTCGACACCAATGACCTGCGGGGGCGAGATTGCACAGGGTGCTAGACGGTTAATGAGTCTCCCAACAACATTAGAAGAACACCTTATCTCGACGCAGCAATGGATCTGAGGACATTCATAAATTTGCCAACGGAGGAGGTCATGGGATGGGGAGAGAGAGAGAGGAGAGAGAGAGATAGAGAGAGAGGAAGGCAAGCGTCAAGGAGTTGGGAGGAAGGCGAAGAGCCACACAGTGTTGCGTCCTAAGACTAGAATTTATCGTCACACTCACGTGGTGCCTTTTTTGAAATCCGCGACCATTTTTTCGAGCCATTGGATCAAACTCAAATGGCGATCCTTTGGGTCGGCACCTAACTATGATTATCTTAATCTCACTCCATGGATAAAAGGAAGATGGAAACTAGCAAAAGATATATCTTTTTTCAACTGGAAATCTGCTCATTCCATTAACCGAAGAGCAGAGCAAAGTCGCTGGCTACCAAAAAGTGCACGAAGGGGCATCGCCGGGACATACGACTTGGGGTTCGATCAGATTTTCAAATTAACTTTGGTTAAAGATTTGTAGGATAACTCAATGCATTGGTATTGGGAGACATAAACTCTAGCCGTCGCCATAGGTCTCCTCCATGACGCCCCCTTGGTCTCCCTCCTCTCCCCTGTCTGGACGTCTTGTCGGCGGCAAGAAGAGTGGGGACCCTGCATGTTTCATTTTCCTTTTCTTTAGGTTTTGTTTCCCTAACGACATCGACGAGGTGGTGGTGGCGTTGTCGTGGGGAATAAGGTCTCTCAGGCCTCTCCCTACTCGATGATGCTTGATCTGTCACTAACAAAGGGTATGTGAGAGTTTGTGTCATCAGATTTGTTGGTTGTCTTCAAATCTTGACAGTTGTTGTGTCTATCAAGGAGTGCGATTGGATAGCTATTGGTGTGACAACTTCGACTTCTTCTTCCATGTTGTTCTGCGAGATGGTTCGGTTTCTCCCACTCTCTGGTTCTGTGGTGATGATTGCAAGCATGTATCGCGTGAGGCGATACTCCAAACCGATGCTTCTTCAACAATTTCTAGATCTCGCCTCAGGTGGCAAGTGGCTATTGTGGTCTTTAAAGCCTCGTACAGCGAGAGCGTTTTTATGTGTCTCTTTCCTTTACCATTGCTTCAGTGCAATTTTAATCTCTGGCAGTGGCGTAATATTGGAGGAATAAGACTACTATGATTTTAAATGTAACCTTTTTACCAGTGGTGAAGCGTCCAATTGTCTTTTCGTTGTACTGGTTATTGTTTTCCTCGATAATTATCAGATCTAAGATGCCCATGGGTGTCTTTTCTTCAAAAAATAGAGCATTGGTATAATGGTATTGATGGTGCTTTTGTAGATAAGAAAGGGTAACCTTATTATGTAGATAGGACCAGTTCTAGTGTATTTTGTTTGTAACATTTTCATATTTGAACTGCAAGTGTGCTCTAGTTTGGTCCAAATAGTTTTCAAATATATTTTCAAACTTCCATACTAAGAGTGGAGGCACTTGACATAAACAAAGGTGAAACCCTAACCCATGTGCTATGAGTAGCCATCCTTGAGAGTATTGCCCCATGGTGATTTGTTTATAGAAATTGATCAAAGTCTCAAAAATGTTAATCCTTTTGCATCCACCCCTTTTGTGGACTAGTTTGAGGCAAAATAATAATAAACAAGCAATACAAGAAACTAGAAAAAAAACTTCACAACCCCGGCGGTACACTAAGTCTTGAGTCACATAATCATGGGACCATCCTTCGCGTTCGTGAGTACACATACTAGCTCAGTAGGTGCTTGCGTTGTTCATTCATCGGTCAGTCTCAAGTTCGAGTACCCTTCATGGCGTTATGAGCCACCTTTTTTCATCATTTGACGAGGCGCTGCCACATGGGCCCTGGGGTCACCTATGACAGTGCAGCCACTGGCAGATGGCCCCGCAGGGGGTGTCCCATGCGTCAGTAATTGCGCAATGGAGCCACCTACGACCGTGTAGCCACTGATAGATGGGCCCGCATGGGGTGTCCCACGTGTCAGTGACTGCGCAATGGAGCCACCTACGACCGCGCAACCACTGACCGGTGGGCTCGCAGGGAGTGTCCCACACGTCAGTAACTGTGCCAAGTAATAGTCAAAGACTTTGACCCGACGACAAATCCCTGTTTGGGCTTTCGTAAGGGTGGGCCGCACGATGGAGGGGAAAAGTGAGGAATGGCAAACATCATGGACAAAACTAAGCAGAACTAAGGAAGGAGATTCGGAAATGGAGCAGAAAGGATTCTCGCCTTTTTCCCCAGAGGTGATGCTGAGTTATCAAACCCAAGGGAGGATGGCGCCCTTTAATCTAGGGTCTCAAACAAGCTTTTTCTAAAGAATTAAATTCAGCTTTGTACCAGATCATAAATCATGCTGACACTAGAAGAACACTTATAATAAAAATAGGCATGGGTATGTGGTCTTATGTTTACAACCATATATTTATGTCGAGGCCATATATGATCTTAATTTGTGCTCTGGAAGTCACTAATCAATATGTGCTTGCTATTTATTTAAGTGGGAGATATGTCCAAATTACGTCTTGACTGGTGCGCATTCTACATCAAGAGTCGGTTGTCCAACCGAAGACCCTATCCGTCGCATGGGGTTGCCTCGATAATTAAGATTGCAATAATCGGACAAAAGCATTGAACATTTAATGACTACACCTCTTGAATCCCCGGGGATATGATCCATGCTACCATACTAAACCTTTCTGTCACTAGTGTTTAGAATAACACTTCACAATCTCCATACATTTAGCCTCTCCGTGGCTCGTTCTCCATGATCCTGGGTACCTACAGGGATGAAGAAGGTGAAAGAGACAAGAGATAACTACGGAACAATTTTATGTTACACATAGGAGGCATTAATTCAAAGTCCTTCCATTGATCCCTCCAATAAATACATCGGGTTGCAAGGCCCTTGCCTCAACCCATACCTTACTGAACTACTCACACATGGAGATCAGATCACATGAAGGACACATCGAAGAACACATCATCAAGATAGATAGATTGATAATAAGTCTTACAATGGATGTCGTGTGTGATACACAATTACAAGTATGACTAGATTGCTGGGCACTATGGTGGTGGTGAAGGTTGTGGCTATGAAAATGGGAAATGGCGGCGGCTAGGGTTGATGGAGATGGCTATGGTGATGATGATCTGTGCTCCCTTCTCTGTTGTTCCTCTGTTATCCATTTGGTGCCGAGCCTTTTATTTGTTCAGGTGGACGAGAGGCCTTGGTTTCCACGCCATACGACCGCTCAGACAAGCGGGCGTGGTCACATGGAACACCGTCTTTTCCTTTGTTTCTTCTAGTGCGCCTCCCACTTGATCCCCTCCATCTCCACATTACTCCTTTTCAAGTATTGGCTTGATTTTGTTCATAAATAGCCCATTTTCTATGGAAACAAAATAAATAAAGGATTTTTGGAATCCTATGCATTTATTAGTCATTAGTGGCAATATTATAGTGAATATCTCAGTTTTAATGAAATATATATCGGTTTAAACTCGGGTTAGAGGAGTGTAAAAATAACACTCATCAAAATCCCAAGTAGGAATAACAAGTCCTCATCAAAACCTCGTTAACCCCATCGAATAAATATGTATTTATAAGTCCAGTCTTCTTTTTAAGAATTAATCTTCTATATCTAAATAGCTAGCCCTGTTAACATAATTCTCTCAACATGATGCTACCTCAACATGCAATATGCATGAGAAAATTCCCACCTCAACATGCAACCGTGATAGAAATAATCTCATCTCGACATGCAAACATGCATGAGAATTTCCAATTCGTATTCTGTCTAAATTTGATAAACATTTTACAACAATGCAACAATAAAAGACAATCATATGTATTTTTAGTTTTAGTGCTCGTATTATTAGTCCAAATATTCATGTTCCATACAATCAAATGTTACTGAAATATGTTGCAAAACATTTCTGCAATCATTTTTTGTTGGTTTTCTCGTGTACAAGTTGCACCAGGGGTATGAGTTGTACTGCGTGTGGAGTACAAGTTGCACCATCCAAAAAGCATAGGTTACGCGTGTTGGGGAACGTAGTAATTTCAAAATTTTCCTACGCACACGCAAGATCATGGTGATGCATAGCAACAAGAGAGGACAGTGTTGTCTACGTACCCTCGTAGACCGGAAGCGGAAGCGTTAGCACAACGCAGTTGATGTAGTCGTACATCTTCACGGCCCGACCGATCAAGCACCGAAACTACGGCACCTCCGAGTTCTAGCACACGTTCAGCTCGATGAAGATCCCCGGACTCCGATCTAGCAAAGTGTCGGGGATGAGTTCCGTCAGCATGACGGTGTGGTGATGATCTTGATGTTCTACCGTCGCAGGGCTTCGCCTAAGCACCGCTACAATATTATCGAGGATTATGGTGGAGGGGGGCACTGCACACGGCTAAGAGATCAATGATCAATTGTTGTGTCTATGGGGTGCCCCCCTGCCCCGTATATAAAGGAGTGGAGGAGGGGGGTGGCCAAGGAGGGTGGCGCGCCCTAAGGGGGGAGTCCAACTCCCACAGGGAGTAGTACTCCCCTTTTTCCTATTAGGATTAGGAGAGGGAAGGAAGAGGAAGGAG